GCGCTGGCCGTGCCCGCGCCGGCCCTGGCCGTGTCGCATGTCACCAGCAGCCGCGGCCTCCAGATCCAGCACTTGTCGCCAGGGCCGCGCAGGCCCTGGCAGCACTGAGCGCCCCGGGGCGCCCCGCGCCGCGCGGCTCCAAGAGAAGCGGCCTCTGCTCAGCCCCGTGTGCGCCGCTGCCTTCCTGTGCGCTCGGGGCTGCCGCTGCGCCCGCCGGCGCTGCCCGTGTCCCGCGGCTTAGCGGCCACGGCGCTTGGCACGTGGTGCCCATGGCTCTGGTTAAGGTGCTGGCAGGAAGGAGGGAGCCTCTGACCCGTCCCACGCAGTGCCCGGTGTCCCCTCTCGCTTGGGCACTGTCCCTGCCCGGATGCCAAGGACGTGTCCCTGGTGTGCCTGCCAGCGGCTCCTGCGGCACCGGCCTCTCCAGGGCCCTCCCCGCTCTGATCCCTCTCCCTGCACCCCGGGGCACCGCGCGGGACCCTCGCAGCGACGCGGCCTGGCCCAGTGCCCCTGGCTGGGGAAGGGAACGGGGATGAGTTCTGGGAAGGGGCGGGCGAGTCTTGGCGCGGCTGGACACAGCGCCCAGCTGCCCGGGGGTCCCTGTGCTCCGTGGCGTCTCCGGGCGCGGGATGCTGCACGGACAGGGATCATGGAGCCGCGGGCACTGCCAGGCTGCAAGGTGCGAGCCCGAGGTGCTGCAAGGAGCACCCGGGCACCCTGCACGTCCCGGGAGCTGGAACGATGGGGACACCTCACACCCAGGCTGAGGGAACGGAGGGATCCTCACGTCACACGGAGCCGGAGGAGCTGTTGGGGCCTCGTTCCCGATCCCTGCTCGGCTCTTCAGCCAGACACGGTCTCTGGTGCCCGCCGGGAAGGAGGAGGTGCCTGTTATGCCCGTTATTATAAGCTGGTTCTCACAGAAGCTCTTGTCCGTCTTTGTGGACGGTCCCAAGCTGGGTGCAGTGGCCGACACTCCGGAGGCCTGTGCTGCCATCCAGAGGGACCTGGACAGAGGAAGCTCCTGAGGTTCCACAAGGACAAGGGCAGGGTCCTGCGCTGGGCAGGGACAGCCCCAGGCACCAGCACTGATCAGGGGTGACCTGCTGGGGAGCAGCTCCATGGAGAGGGGCCTGGGGGTCCTGGGGACACCAAGGTGCCCATGGGGCAGCAGCGCCTGGTGGCCAAGGAGGCCAATGGGCTCCTGGCTGCATGGGCAGGACGTTGGCAGCAGGGCAGGGAGGGATCCTGATCCTGCCCCTCTGCTCAGCCCTGGGGAGCCCAAACCTGGAGCACRGGGGGCAGCTCCGGGCTCCCCAGGACCGGGGGGACGGGGAGCTGCTGGAGAGGGGCCAGCGCAGAGCGACAGGGATGGGGAAGGGCCTGGAGCAGCTCGGGTGAGCGGAGCCTGAGCGAGCGGGGCCTGTTTAAGCTGGAGAGGAGGAGGCTGAGGGAGGGGACCTGAATAACATGTCCAAGTTCATGAAGGGGGAACGGAGGGAGGACGGGGCCACGCTCTGCTCGGTGGTGGCCAGGGACAGGAGAGGGGAAATGGGTGTGAGCTGAAGCACAGGAAGTTTCGTCTCCAAGGAAGAACTTCCTTGGTGTGAGGGTGCCCAGCCCTGGCCCAGGGAGCCCAGGGAGGCTGCGGAGGCTCCTGCTCTGCAGATCTGCCAACGCGCCAGGATGGAGCGGGTGTCCCGTGCTCCGGGTGTCCCTGTGGAGCAGGGCCTGCACTGGGGGATCCCTAGAGGTGCCTGCCAACCTCAGCCACTCTGGGATTCGGGGATTCAGGTCGCTTCCAAAGTTACGGTCCCGGTGCCGTCAGCGGGAAGGGTTTGCTCTCTGCTCTCAGCTGTTACCAGGTCTTTGGCCAGCTGGGAGCTGCATCAAATTTTAACAGAGCGAGACCGTCCCTGCCCCGCAAGACTTTCCACTTCCCCATCTTGTTCCTGGGAGCAGCACCCAACATTTCTGCCTGGCTGTTCTGCTCCCCTGCAGTTTGCGCAGCCGCGCCGGTTCGGGTGTTACCCCTTCCCTCGCGCACAGCGCAGTGCTGCCGCCGCCGGGTCAAGGTCCCCGGCGCAGCATGGAGCTGCCGAGCGCCTGCAGCCACCCGTGCTGGTTCGTGCTCACGCTGCTGCTGCTGCTGCTGCTGCTGCTGCTGCTGCGCGCCCAGCGGCACCGCGGCGCCTGGCGGCCCCGCGCCTGCCCCACCGACCTCACCGGCAAGACCGTCATCGTCACCGGAGCCAACAGCGGTGCGCGGCGCGGCGGCACGCGGCTGCACGGGAGCGGGGTGCAGCAGGCAGGGCGCAGGCGCAGGACCTGGGTGCAGGGTGCAGGACACAGGTGGAGGGGACAGGACACGGGTGCAGGGTGCAGGACCGGGGTGCAGGGCGCAGGACAGGGGCACAGGGAGCAGGACACGGGTGCAGGACACGGGCACGGGGTGCAGGACCGGGCTGCAGGGCGCAGGACCAGATGCAGGGCGCAGTGCTCTGTGGTTCTGCCCAGCACAGGGCTCAGCTGCCCTCAGGGCGCAGCTGGGCCGGGCTGGGCCGGTCCTAGTCCCGGTGCGCAGTGACCGCGCGGCACCGGGGGCAGCGAGCGGTGCCGGGGCCGGTGCCAGTGCCGGTGCCGGTGCCAGTGCCGCGTTCCCAGGCAGCTCCCGCAGCTCCCGGGCTCCGGCAGCAGCCCAGCCACCAGGGAGCCCCGCGCTGGACTCTGCCCTGGCTGGTTAATGACTGACGGCCGGTGCCGCGCTGCCCGTGCGGGCACGCGCCCGGGCCCTGCTCCCGGAGCAGGCGCCACTCTGCAAACCGTGGGGCGGCACCGTGGGGCTGCGCCCGCTCCTCAGCCCCCCGTGCCGCGAGCTGCCCTGCCTGCGTGGCCCCACACTGCACGGTCCTGGTACGTGGTGCCACACCGTGCTGCACCGTGCCGTGCTGCGCCATGCTGAACAGTGCTGAGCGTGCTGCACCGTGCCGTATTGCACCATACTGCACCGCACTGAGCGTGCCGCACCGTGCCGTGTTGCACCACCCCGCATTGTGCTGGGCATGCTGCACCGTGCTGTATTGCACCACCCCGCATTGTGCTGGGCATGCTGCACCGTGCCCACCGTGCCGTACTGCACCTTGCCCCACTTCTCTAGGTGACCCTGCGTGTGCAGGGGGGTTGGACTAGATGACCTCTGAGGTCCCTTCCAACCTTGAGCATTCTGTGATTCTATGATTCTGTGCCCAGCTCTGTGCCTGCTGGTTTGGGCAGCAGGAGCTGGTGAATGCTGCAGAACACATACCAGGGACATGCCAGCCCTGCCCTAGGACTGTCCCATCTCTCCCATCCCATCCTATCCCATCGAATTTCTCCCATCCTGTCACGTCCTGTCCCATCCCATCCCATTCCTCCCATCCCATCCCATCCTGTCCCATTCCTCCCTTCCTGTTCCGTCCCATTCCATCCTGTCCTGTTCCTTCCCATCCCATTCCTCCCATCCCATCCCATCCCATCCCATCCCATCCCATCCCATCCCATCCCATTCCATCTGTTTCTGTCCCTCCCATCCCATCCCATCCTGACCCATCCCATCCCATTCTGTCCCTCTCCTCCTGTCCCATCCCATCCCGTCCCATCCAATGCCATACCATGCCATGCCATGCCATCCCATTCCTCCCATCCCCTCCTGTCCATCCCCTCCCCTCCTATCCTGTCTCATCCCATCCCATTCTGTCCCATCCCAACCCATTCTTCCCATCCCATCCCATCCCATCCCATCCCATCCCATCCCATCCCATCCCATCCCATCCCAGCCTTCCCATCCGGTCCCATTCCATCCCATCCCATCCTGTCCCTCCCGTCCCATCCCATCCCTTCCCGTCCCCACCATTCCCGCTCCACGACACGCAGCAGCAGCGGGGTTCGGGGGGCTCTTGCGCCGTGGGCAGCGGCGATGCCCGCCCGGGTGCCACCGCACGCTGCCCGTGCCGCAGGCATCGGCAAGCATGTGGCGCTGGAGCTGGCGCGCAGGAACGCCCGCACCATCCTGGCGTGCCGGAGCCGCGAGCGGGGCCGCGCGGCCGCCCGCGACATCCGCGCGGCCACGGGCAACGCGGCGGTGCTGCCGCTGCCGCTCGACACCGCCTCGCTGGCCTCGGTGCGCGCCTTCGCGCGCCACGTGCTGCGCCACGAGCGCCACCTCCACCTGCTCGTCAACAACGCCGCCGTCACCGGTACGCGCACCGGGGCTCCGGGGCCGCGGGGCCGGCGCCCACCGCGGTGGCACCGGCCCCACGTGCCGCCTCCGCCAGGGCTGCCCTTTGCCGTGACGCCCGAGGGGCTCGAAGAGACCTTCGCCACCAACTACCTGGGGCCCTTCCTGCTCACCAACCTGCTGCTGGGTGAGGGGCCGGGCGCTCGGGCAGCCGGCGGCCGCGGCAGCGCCGCCAGCGCCGGCGCCGCGCTCAGCGCCGCCTCCCGCAGAGCTGCTCAAGGCCTCGGCGCCCGCCCGCATCGTCAACGTGTCGTCGTTCCGGCACAGCGCGGGCACCGTGGACCTGCGCCACCTCACGGGGCAGCGGCCCCACGGCGGCTACGACCAGGCCTACAACAGCAGCAAGCTCATGAACCTGCTCTTCACCGCCGAGCTGGCGCGGCGCCTGCAGGGCACAGGTGGGTGCGGGACCGCACAGCCGTGCCAGGCCCGGCAATGCTGTGCCAGGCCGTGCAATGCCGTGCTGGCCTGTGCAGTGCTGTGCCAGGCTGCACAATGCTGTGCCAGGCTGTGCAATGCCGTGCCAGGCTGTGCAATGCTGTGCCTGGCAATGCAATGCCGTGCCAGGCCGTGCAATGCTGTGCCAGGCCGTGCAATGCCGTGCTGGCCTGTGCAGTGCCGTGCCAGGCTGCACAATGCTGTGCCAGGCCGTGCAATGCCGTGCCAAGCCCTGCATGCTGCCCCATGCTGTGCCAGGCCAAGTTGTGCCATTCATGGCCATGGCATATCATGCCATGCGGTGCTGTGCCACGCTGCGCTCATGCTGCACCTTGCTGTGCCCTGCACATGCCACGCGGTGCCATGGCATTTTGTGCCGTGCGATGCAAGGCGACAGCATTCCCAGCCACAGCACAGCGTGGCACGCAGTGCTGTGCCGCGCTGTGTGTGCAACGCTGTGCCGTGCTGTGCTGCATGGTGCTGTGCCATGTGCATGCCGTGCCATTCTCATGCCACACCATGCTGTGCCGCGCTGTCCTGCACCGTGCACGGCCATGCTCTGCCCTGTCACACCATGCCACCAACACACCCGTGCACCCACCGTGCCCCCCGGCGGGCCGGGCGCTGCTCCCCGCGGGGCGCCCGGTCCCTCGCGGCGGGCGCTGAGGCTGCGGTGGCGCAGGGGTGACGGTCAACGCGCTGAGCCCCGGCGTGGTGAGGACGGGCATCATGCGCCACTTCAGCTGGCCCGTGCGCGTGCTCTTCGCCCTCGCCGGCCCCTTCATGAAGGTGAGTGGTGCCCAGGGGACAGAGGGTGCCTGGTGGTGCTCTGGGGACAGGGCGGGGGATGCGTCACTCCCCTCCTGTCCTAACCGGCCCGCAGTCCCCGGAGGAGGGAGCCACCAGCACCATCTTCTGCGCCGTGTCCGAGGAGGCCGCGGGCATCTCGGGCAAATACTTCAGCAGCGACTGCCGCCTGGCGCTGCCCGCGGCGCCCGCGCGCGACCCGCGCCTGGCCCGCCAGCTCTGGGACGAGTCGGAGCGGCTCACGGGGCTGGCCGCGGGCGCAGGCGCTCGTTCCTGACCCTCCCCGGGCACGGCGGCAGCTCAGCCCCGGCTGGCGCGGTACAAAGTGCTTTATTAAAGTGTGGCGCGCGGGCCGCTACTCCCAGGCGATGTGCAGGTCGAGGCGGCGCCTGCGCGCGGCCTGCACGAAGGCGTCGTAGTCGCGCCGCAGCACGTCGGGGCAGCGCGCCAGGTCGAGGCGGCGCAGGCGGCTGTCGGCGGCCAGCAGCAGCGCCACGGTGCCGCCCGACACGCGGCTGCCGGCCAGCGAGAGCTC